AAAGACAGGGTCTTACTATGAACTCTGGCTGGAACTCTCTATGTAGACCAGGCTGACCTCAGACACAGACACCTATCTTCCTGTGCCTCTTGAGTCCTCTAGCCAAGGGAGACTTATACCTCTCCCCATAGACCAGCCTGGCTTTAAATTCACAGCAATTCTCCTGTTGCAGCCTCCCAAATTCTGGGATTGCAGGTGTGAGCCACAATATCCATCAGGTTTGAGCTATGTTTAATTAGGAAATAATGTTATGTATTAGGCTAAGATCTGATGAATAACTGTATGAATATATAACAATCATAATATAAATATTTTGCATCTCTTATCAAGCCAATTCACAAATATTTAAATTGTGTTGCACTTCTGATTTACAATCTAATAAAAAGATGTTTCAGAAAAAAGAAAAAAGGGCTGAGTACAAAAGAAGAACCATAGATAATTTCTTCTCTTTCAAATTTATGTGTACATGTGAGTGTATGCCACGTGTGTGTGGGTGCCCGTGAGATCAGAAGGAGCACTGAATCTCCCAGAGCTGGAGTTACAGGCAGTTGTGTGCCATTCAGTTTGGGTACTGGGAACAAAACACAGGTCCTCTCAAGAGCAGCAAGCCCTTTAAACCATTGAACCACCTCTCCAGCCATGTCCATGGATGACTTCAGCAGTGGTTGCTCTCTCTCACTGGGAATGGGTTAGCTCCTTCTGATTTAGAGGATGTGTAGCATCTGTGCTTTTCCCTCCCTCCCTCCCTCCCTTTCTTCCTTCCTCCCTCCCTCCCTTCCTCCCTTCCTTCCTTCATTTCTTTCTTTCTTTCTTCTCTCTCTCTTCTTTCTTTCTTTTTTCTCCTTCCCTCCCTCCCTTCTTTCCTTTCTTCCATTCCTTCCTTTCTTTTTACTTTCATTTGTGTTTATTTTATGATGATTTATTCCTATTTTGTGTCTTCAGGGATATCTTCTTCACAACCTCCTCTTCTAGCTTTGAAACAATTAGTTCTTTTCAGTGAGGATCATCTCAGTGTTGCTCAAGTATGGGTTCATCCAGTCACGAGCTTTGTAAGTTCAATGACACATTTTGGGTCATTTGTTCAATGACTAGAGAATCTACAGCTAACCCCTTAAGTTCAGCATCAGTCTCTGAATTTTATAGCATGTGCAGCAAAAACTAAGCACTCTTTAGGGCCACCAACTGTAAACAGAGTTTCTGTTCTGCCTGGTCCCTCAGCCGTTTAGTCCCAAGTAAACACACAGAGGCTTACATTAATTATAAACTGGCTGATGGCTCAGGCTTCTTATTGGCTAGCTCTCTCTTAATTACTAACCCATTTCTATTAATCTAAGTATTTCCACATGGTCTTGGCTTACCAGAGAATGCTCAGGCATCTTACCTTCCTGGTGGCTACATGGTTACTCTCTGGCAGCTCACTCTCTTCCTCCTCTCCCCAGAATTCTCCTAGTCTGGTAGCCCTGCCTATACTTCCTGCCTAGATACTGGCCGATCATTGTTTTATTTATCAATCAATAAGAGAAACATATGTACAGAAGAGCATCCCCCATCAACCAACCTTGTGCCAAGCCCCACAGTTTAACATGGGCACACCTGCTGATTCCACCATCACAGTGCTGGAAAGATGGTTCAGTGGTCAAGATCATTGACTGCTCTTCCAGAGTTCTGTTCCCAGCATCCACATGACAATTGCCTGCTTCTGGCCTCTGAAGGCACCAGGAGCACATATGGTGCACATACATGTGCAGGCATGAATGGTGGTGTCATACACCTTTAATCTCAGCACTTGGGGGCAGAGGCAGGTGGATCTCTGAGTTCAAAGCCAGCATGGTCTACAGAGTGAAAGCTACACAGAAAAACGTTGTCTTGAAAAACAAAAAGACATCTTTCAGATACTCAGTGGCTTTTTGGATGATTATACGCTTGAAGGCCTGAGCAGTTTCATAAGTTTCTTAAAGTTAACACAAAGGATTGAACTTCTTTATTTGCATGGTTTTGTAAGTTTTTTTTAGGTCAAGAGAGTATGGGGAACAGTCTTCACAGGTTACCTCAGGCCACTTGCAGGAAGAACTGTTCTTTTTCTTTTCATTTTGTCATAATAAACACGACCTAATAAATGTGACTCAATACCACATAAGTACTAGCAGAATCCAGGATGTCTGTGCCAATACCAAATGTAGCAACTTCTGGAGATGAAACACAGCAATGACAATGTGCTTTAGGGCTTACTGACTTAGACAGCAAATGCTGTCATAGTGATTGTCATGTTTCTGTTATTAGACTATTGTTTTCACTGTTTTATTTATTTCTAACCCACAAGTTACACTTTATTGAGATAAAAGCCATATAATACAAAACTCCCAAAGTACACAGTCCAGTGGTTTTAAAATGTATATTCCCAATGTTGCGTAGCATAACTTTCTTAATTCCAGAACATTCTGTCACCCCAGAATGAAACTTTACACCTCCCATCTTTCTCATCCCCTGGGAACTACTACCTCTGCTTTACCCTTTTTCCTCATTTTTTCTGTTCTGTACATTTCATATAAATGGAATCATAAATCTTGTGGCCTTTTGTGTCTTGCTTCTCTCATTTAGCCTAACGTTGTCTAGATTCATCGATTCCGTAGATAGTCCTTTATTATATGTAGAAACACCACTGTAGATAGTCCTTTAGCATTATGCAGAAACACCACTTTGTCTGTTCGCTAGTTGACGGACATTTGAATTTCTTCTACATTTTGGTTTTTACAAATGAGGGTGTGGTACTTAAGATTGAAGCCAGAGTCTTGCACATCTGGTGTGTGTTGGGGCAGGGGAAGTGGGGGGAACAGAGTATGGGGAGGAACAACTGGAATTAAACTTGGAGAGTGATGTGGGAACATACAGTATAAACTCTCAGGATTCTACAACGGTGACCCTAGTGAGCACTCCTAGTAATGGAGGGTACTGGAGTCTGAACTGGCCATCTTCTGTAACCAGGCAACTTCTGGTCATAGGACTGGGATACCAACAGCCACAGAACCTTCAACTACAGTCTATCTTGCCAGACAGATGTGCTGGGACAATGAAGGTGCAGAACTTGGGAGTGGCCAGCCAATGACTGGTCTATTTTGAGGTCTATGCCATGAGAAGGAGCCCCTTCCCTACACTGCCTGGATGGCCAGAGACCTAGGATAGAAAAAAAATCAACAAATTGATTCTTAATGATGTTCTTACACACTCACAGGGTGCTTACTTAGTTCAGCCAGCAGATGGGAGCAGATGCAAAGACCCAAAGCTAAATGTTAGGTGAAGAGAGGGCCCAAATTGGATATCTTCATCAGGTTTCACCCCCTTGATCTCTGGAAGCCCCATGGGAGAGGGGAGGAAGAACTGTAGGAGCCAGAGGACACCTGGAAAACATGGTCTACAGACAGCAACTGAGTAGGGCTCAAAGGGGCTCACAGAGACTGAACTGGCAATCATGGAGCCTGCATGGGTCTGTGATAGGTCCTCTGCAAGTATGTTAAGGTTGTGTAGCTTGGTGTTTCTGTGGGACTCCTTACATTGGGAGTGGGGGTGTGTGGTGGCACACACCTTTAATTCCAGGACTCAGTATTAAAAGGTAGGTGGATCTCTGTCCAAGGCCACCCAGATCTACACAAGATTGATCCAGTCCTAAAGAGAAAGAGCTCTCACAAAGATGATCTCAGCCCCTGGGATCCCACGCCTTCAATCCCAACACTAAGACAGGAGCAAGATCTCAGTATCAGGCATTCATTCTCCATCCATGTTGAGAGGAGGCAGCAGGATCAGCCCATTCAACCTGAGGTAGTGGTAAGATCTAGTGGCCAGCTACTTTGCTTTTCTGACCTTCAGCTTTAAGTTTTAACCCCAATATCAGTCTCTAGGGTTTTTATTTTTCGTGTTACAACAACCTGCTTTGTTTTTAAACAAAACTCCTTGGGAAAAATTTAAGCATACATTTTATTTATCGTGTGTGTGTGTGTGTGTGTGTGTGTGTGTGTGTGTGTGTGTGATGTATGTGTCACAGGCACAAATGCTGCAACATGCATTTGGAACCAGCTCTGTCTTCAAGACAATTTGATGTATGCCAAAGTTTAAGAATAAATGATTTTGAGGTTTTTGATTTTTACCTACTTACCTTTTCTATGTACCTTTCAGTTAACTGATTAAGAAATATTTCCAGTCAGGTTATACTTTCATTAAACTCCTACTAGGTGCTAAGCTTTGAGAATACAATGAAAATATCTCCCTTTTGATTGTCATGGCAAGCTGTGTTATCATAAGAAACTACTCAGATCTGCCTTTACTGGACACAACGTGTGTTAGAGAGACTAGCACATAAGCAAGTGGTAATGGACTATATAGTATGTGCCCAAACAGCGTTTGAATAGTCATTGTATGGGCTTGAGGAGGACTGGACACAGAAACTCACCCTAAAGCTTGAGCAGAATAAGCACCGGTTCCAGACTGAGGCAAGAAAAAGCCCTGGGATCCACGACGACTTGAGGAAAGATGACAAAATAACAGGGTGTGTGTGGTAGTGTGGTTTTGAGCAAACTTTTCTGTGTGGTAGGAAGAATTTACTTCTACCCTGGCTCCTAAACCCAACGCCCTGTGGCTAAGTCCAGCAGATTTTTGTCCCTATTAGCATAGAAGTGACCACAGAGTGAGATGTGTGCCATTTGTCATTTAGTTAGGCAGATTTAGTTAGTGAACAAGTTAATAAATGTATGTAACAATGTAAATATAGGCAGACTTCAACAGAGCTGTGTTATAAGCTCCTACCTATGTACAGTACAACTTGTGAACTAGCTTGGTGTGAAGACAAAATCAGATCCCATACACAAGGCTTTTTTATTGTGGAAACTGACTGTGGGCATGCACTCAGTAATATCATAGAAACATTTGTTGTAGCTTGCTAACCCCTTACCGCTCAGGGATGTGTAGTGGAACTTATCTAAATTGGAACAACACATTCATACCACAGTAAATCATTTTCAGTTATTTATTATTGTGTAACAAACGACCCCAAGCCATGGCTTAAAACAGTGGCAACAATTCGTTTGTGGCTATGCGGTTTGGGCAGGGCTGAGTGGAACAGCTCATCTGTGCTCCAGATGGCATTAGTGAGGGTGGCTTGAAAGACCAGAGGGTAGGTGACAAGTGAAATCATCCAGGGGCTTTCTGGAGACTGTCTGGAGCTTGATTCTGGCAGCTGGGACAGATAGCACTCTTCTCTCTGTGTGGATTTTACTCATCCTCCAGCTATGTTGAGGTCAATCTTTTATTTTTATTTTTTCTGGAAGGATCAGAAGTCTAAAAGAATAAATAGATAAATGGAGTTTTCACTTTGACTCTGCCATTTACCACGTTGCTCACAACAAGCTCCTCCTCTCCCCCTTCTGAATTTCAGTTCTCAAATTTTATGTCAGAACTTGGTCTCAATTGCCCAGAAAAAGCTTCTGAGGTAGGACTTAGAGTGGACGCAATTTATTTGAGAGTTGATTCCAGCACATATCAGAAGGAAGCCGGGAAGAGATAGAGGGAAAGAAGCCAGGAAGTGGTACTCAAACAAGAAAATGCCACCGTCAGTAACTAGAGCTTAAAGGACAGCCCAGAGGTACCTCACCTAAAGGTAAAGGGAGCCTGGATGTTGTTTCCTTGTCATTGCTTGAAAACAGCAAATTCGAGGTTGGCTTAAAAAATCTGGAAGCAGAGATGAGGCGCTGATGAATCAAAACTGAGCAAGTTTACAATGAAAACAGTTGAGATCTGAAGGGATGTGAATATTCTTCACTGAATAATAATCGTTTTCTGAAGGCTATTGAGTAAGTAAACGAGATAGTGTTAAAAAAGAAAGTAAAAACTCCATTCCTGGTGTGAAAGTACTCCTGGTGCTTTAGTAGTCTTTACAGCAGCATTTAGAGGAGCCCCCGAGGGTCCTGGAACTTTTCCAACATTGCCTATCAGGTGCTCCTCCGGGGTTTCCTCATCACTCTGACCCCGCTATCTTTCTTCATCTCCCACTGCCATCCTCCACAGTGCTTTCTGGGACTCAAGGTCTGGTGTTACCGCCCGTAAACAGATGCAAACCTAACGTTAAGATACTGGATTCCTAAATTGATAGTCTTTTGATAGTTTTTGAATAGAAGCGTGAAATAATCCAGTATTTACGAAGGTTTTGGAGCGCAGGCTTGGATGACAAGAAAGATGGCAAAGCAAACCCACCCCGCCCCCGCTCGCGTATGCATGCTCATGAATGTCTCCAAGTTATTGCAATTGTCCATTTTGAGACATGCGAGGTGAAGAATCTGTCTTGACACCAAACTCAAAGAATATAAACGAAGGGGCAGATAAGAAACGAACAATGCGAGGCATCTCATTACAAAATAAGCAGAGGCCTCTTGTCTGAAGGCTCGGGTCCCAGTTCAGGCAGCCTCTGACAGCTTTGCAATTGTAGACTGCACCTCCCAGGAGTACAACTCAGATCCAGACCGCGAGAACAACAGGGTAAGCGCGCCAACCCTATTCTCTGATCTATCGGGAAAACGCGGGAGTGGACAGCATCCTCGCCAAGGGGCTGCTGCTGATGCAAGGCTAAGTACTAGGCAGCTGCGGGCACCCAGGCGGAGCCATTGCTTCTTCTAGCTCTCAGGCCCGGGAAGCGGCACACAGACAGAGCCCACCACAGTCAGGGCGCCGAGGTTTCCCCGCAGCGCTACGCGTCCTGCAGCCGCGCGCTGTTGCTGGGGCCCGGGCACCGCCCTCATTCACTAACGGCCAATGGCGGCGTGGCCAGAGCACCGCCCAGCTACAGAACAGACCAATGGCGGCGCAGAAAGGGCAACGCCCTGCTCCCCCATGGACCAATAGCAGTGTGCCCCGGAGCCCGGGCCGCCCCAGCCAGGCGAGGAGGCGGGCAGACGGCCCCTGGCTCCGCCCCGCTCCCCTCTGACCCGGTGTCTAGTCGCTCTGTCTTCCTGTTCCAAACCACGTGGACGCGTCGGGGGCCGCGGTGGTCCCTGTCGCGTTCCCAGCTCCCGGCCCTCCGCGCACCGCGCGCACATGGCGGCCCAGGCGCACTCCCTCAGCTATGCGGGGTGCAACTTCTTGCGCCAGCGGCTGGTCCTGTCCACCCTGAGCGGGCGCCCGGTCAAGATCCGCAGGATTCGGGCCAGGGACGACAACCCGGGCCTCCGAGGTGACTTGGGAGGGGGCGTGGGGGCGGGGATCCGGGGTCGCCGTCGCGAGCCGCCGCGGGGTGCGTGGGAGGCGGATCTGGTCCGGAGCTGCGCCACGCGTGGAACGATTCCCTGCGGCTGCCGAGCGCGGGTAGTAAACAGCTACACGTTTTCCTGGCAGGCGTGTTGCTACGCATCGTAGGCGTCGCCCACTCACTTCTCTCCCTTGAGACTCTTGCTTTCGCCATAGACCTCTCAAAGGAGGAAAAGAGTTTATTGGACCAACATGTAGTAACGAGTGAGCGGACGGTCAGACACTGGGAGAGGAAAGTACCACGGGTTGGTTCCCCGTTCTCCGGAAAGCAGGTCTCTGAAACCGCTGCCCCGCTTGGGCACCAGTTCTTGTCGCCATTGTTTCTCGGCCCCCCACTTCTCTTCGGGAGTGAATTACGAAATTTTATCTTTAAATGATGTATTTGGTTGTATTAGTCACTGATGTGCGCATTCGAGAAGCTTAGAGATGGGTTTTTGTTTTGTTTTTGAAACGGGGTCTCTTGTTGCCCAGGCTAGGCTCAAACTTTGGTTATAGCCGAGGCTGACCTTCAGCTCCTGTTCCTTCTGCCTCCACCTCCCGGGTGTTGGGATTACAGGCCTGCCACATAACTAATGCGCAGCGGAGTTAAATTTTAAGTTATAAACCTAGTTGTCTTGACTTCAGGAAAAGGAGCACCAAACAGTCAGCTATAAGCTTCAGAGCTATTTATTTGCCCCACAAAGGCAGATGGGTTAAACCCATCATCTGAACCCACATCTCATTAAATGGCTTTGGTTTTCAGCTGTTGTCCTAGAATTTAGGTACATGTTCAAAAGTGTCTCTCTGATCTCTCCAAATTGAGACAATTGAATCAAAACCTTCCTGTATTCTGAAGGTACAGAGGGGCTGTAGGTGGTTCAGGAGACTTCCTGGGTCAGGCTGATGTGTTTAACTTTGTAGAGGCTCCTGGAATAGATGGCTAGACCATTTCATCATCTGTCTGAATATGTTTTCTTTTTTGGTTGGTTTTTTTTTTTTTTGTAATTTCGTCTCTGCCACTCTTGAAATTTTGTGCATGATGTTGGAAACAAGGCCAGAAAGGCTTAGTAAGGTTAAGATTAAGTTCCTGTCCTCCCCATGGTGCTGGAGAAAACACCGAGGTTGGGGACATACACCCATAATCCAGAACTCAGAAGGCTGAGGCAGGAGGATCACAAGTTCAAAGCCATCCTGGTCTACACAGTGAGTTCCAGGCTGGCCAGGGCTACATTGTCAGATGCTTTTTCAAAAAAAAAACAGATTAACAAAAACTGAAAGAAAACTGTCAACCTCCAAGTTGAGGAGAGGCCACTGAATAATTGGTGCTCTTTTCCTCAAACCACTCCCCCCCCAAGTTTTAAATCTGGTCCTTGGGAAAAGTTATTGTTTGATTGGCTTTGTTGTTTTTCATTCCCATCCTGGAGACCTTGCTTCTGCTGTGACCACTGGGCACAGTCTTTGTTGGCTTTTAAATTATTAATTAATTAATTAATTTTTACCAGAAGACCCTAGACTTTCTTTCACAAACATATTACCCATAAGATACAATTCAGAGCTGACTCTTGCTTGGTGCCTTCCAGTATCCTATTTCATGTTTCCAAGAACTTGAATGGAACTCACATAGAACTTGACACTAGCCCTTTACTGAAAGGGTAGGGGATTCCAGTACCTGGGGAGGTAGTTATTTTAGGGGATGCACCTATGTGGATCATTATTTGCTTTACATCATGTCTCGGTTCTGTTGTGAGAAAGAACTATGAGCAAAAGCATCTTGGGGAGAAAAGGGTTTATTAAACTTAAGTTGTAGCTCATCAGGAAGAGAAGCTGGGCAGGAGCTCAAACTAGAGACCAAGACAAGGAAGAAGACTGCTGTTACTGGCTTGCCCCTGGTGGCTTGCTCACTTTGCTTCCTTCCTTCCTTCCTTCCTTCCTTCCTTCCTTCCTTCCTTCCTTCCTTCCTTCCTTCCTTCTTTTTGTTTTTCAAGACAGAGTTTCTCCGTGGCTTTGGAGGCTGTCCTTGAACTAGCTCTGTAGACCAGGCCTCCTGCCTCTGCTTCCCAAGTGCTGTGTGCGCCACCACTGCCCAGCCCACTTTGGTTTCTTATACACCACAGGATACCTGCCCAGTGGGACAGTGGGGTGGGTGCTTGCACATTTATCATCAGTCAGTAGGTGTCCTACAGGCTTGCAGATAGGCCCGTCTGATGGGTGCACTTTCTGAATTGAGGTTCCCTCTTCTCGGATGACTCTGGTTTGTGGGTCTGCCACTTAGACCTTGTGCTGACTTAAGAGCTTAGGGACCTTCTAGCTATGCTTGTCTGTCTGATTACTTACAGAGGGGCCCAGATATACATCTCTACTTTCATTTGTAGACAACCTGCATATGAGTGTACACAGGTTAAGTGTGCGTAATATATACATACACATAAACACATGTATGTAGCCTTGGACACATGATTTGGGTAGTCAAATCTGTGGGAGCTTTATCTGTCTGTGCCTCTTGACCTGGATTGTGGAATTTGGAAAACACTCTAGAGTGCCCAGTACAGTGTCCAGCTGAAATGCAGAAATCAATCACATCCCCCAGAGTTGCTTGTTTAAGCATCCCAGAGGGAGTCCACTTTGGAGAAAGCCTGCCTCAGGACCATTCAGAAGTTTATTGAGCCTCATTATGTGCAAGGCTCTGGGGGAGAAAACTATAGCTAGAAGTTGGCTGCCCTCGAACTCAAGGAACTTGTTCTGTAGCAGGAAGAACCTGAGCGGAATAGCTTGATGAAGTAGCAAGAGTCTAGTGTGGAGCCCAGAGCCGTTGTAAGGAAGACATTCTGGATGTCCTTCTGTTGTGACAGTGGAGATGGTGGCTGTGAGGATCACTATAGGTGAAAGAGACAGTTCTTTTAGACATTTTGTCGGTCTGTGTCTAGGAGTGTCCCACAGTGCTCTCTCTGGTTGTCCTCTGACTTCTATGTGTTTGGGGTCAGCTAGCCTAGTCATTCTCAATCTGTAGGTGGAAACCCTATGGGGGCGGGGTTGGGGGTTCAAACATCCCTTTCACAGGGGTTGCCTAAATTCATTGGAAAACACAGATATTTACATTAAATTGCAGTTATGAAATAGCAAGGAAAATAAATTTATGGTTGGGGTCACCACAACCTGAGGAACTGTATTAAAGGGGCACAGCATTCATTAGGAAGGTTGAGAACCACTGAGCTAGGCAAAGTAGTCTGAAACTTTCCTCAAAACACTAAATAAAACAAAAACAAAGATATAAACATATGCAATCCATAGTTCACTCTTGAACACAACCAGTTATACTGCCTCATTGTATTCTTCATGTCAGTGAAGGAAGTAATATTTCTGTTGTTGATTCTGTCTTTTTATTGAAAGTAAAATAGCCAGGGTAGGTAAGTGAGCTGACGGGTTTACGTGTCTTATTTCACGAGGGCTGCAGTGTTCAGCCAGCTCCAACCTGAGGGGCTTCTTTTCCTGCTACAGACTTGGGTGTTGGTCATTGGCATGACACAGCACCTGTTCCAGGTACCCCTACCCCCACCCCCTCCCTCACCCCCACCCGGTGTCTCTGTGTAAACCTGGCTGTCCTGGAACTCATTCTGTAGACCAGGCTAGCCTTGAACTCTGAGAGATCCAGAGATCTGCCTGCCTCGGCCTCCAAGTGCTGGGATTACATTCGTGAACCACTATGCCTGGCTTGTCCAGGGTATTTTTTAATCTCTGGATTTCACACAGAGGTAAGGAGTTCACTTGGTCTAATAATTTCTATGTTATGTGAGGGCTAAATGGAGTCCACATGATAGGTAATTGTTTGAATCACCCAAATGGTATCAACACCTGGTTTGGGTAAAAGTGTTAAGTTTAGAAGCCTGATAATAAGATTGCTTTTCCCCGGGTGGCTCATATGTTCGGCTTCAGAGTCTTCTGCAAAATTGGAAGAGCTACTTGGGTCTGTGGGAATGCTGTACATGGCTTGAGTGACGTTATCTTGAAATGGGAAGGTTAAACAGAGTTCTAATTGAAAGAATTCTTTAAGATTGTGTTGTGGACGAGGTTCAGGACAGCCTCCAAAACAATACAGAGAAACCCTGTCTCAGAAAAAAAAATTAAAAAAGATGTGCTGTGGAAATGCGGAAATGCTACATGAGTTGGTTTTTTTTTTTTTTTTTGAGAAGGAAACAGTTTTTGGTTAGCTGGTGGATTTAGGGGATAAATCTGCTTGTAAATTAGGTCTTCTAAAAGGAAGGTGAATCTATAATTTTTTTTCCATTATGAGTTGGTAATTGGAATTGTTAAGACAACTGGATTGGAGGGAGCCAGAGGACAGATAATGACAAGTAGAGGTTACATATTGTCCTGTTAATTAGGAGTTGCCTTGTGCTTTTGTTGACTGTTAATATGCCCTAAACAAGACATACCAAACATGTCAAGAATCTGAAAGACATGTTTTCTGCTCTTGCTTAGATACTGTAAGAATGCTATTTTGTTGGGACTATGTGCCATTTTTTTTTAACTGAATCTTTTTGAGATCATTGTGGCTTCATTGACAGTTGAAATAAATAGAAGATTCTTTGTTTATTTGTTTTTTGAGGCAGGATTTCTCTGTGAAACAGCCCTGGCTGTCCTGGAAATCACTCTGTGAACCAGGCTGGCCTCAAACTCAGAGATCTGCCTGCCTCTGCCTCCCAAGTGCTGGGATTAAAGGCGTGCACTACCACCGCCCAGTTTAAATAGAAGATTCTTGCCTATACCCTACCCACATTCCTAATGGGGCTATCTGGTCAATTCATTGTACCAATAGTATCACAACCAGGGTATCGACACTGACACAAGGAGCTACAGAACATCTTCACCGACTATAAAGCTTACCCATATTTAACCTGGTTTTCATGTGTCCATACAGACCACCCTAGAGCTCTTGGATTGGTGTGAGGG